GTCAGAAGAGTATAGATCTGAGACCTTTTCAATGAGTCAAGTTATGCTGGGGCCATGCGCGCTGCATGCACTGCAGCTCAAACTTTCGTGTCTTGTGAATGAACAACACTGCATTTTAACCCCACTGGGCTCATTGGCTTGTGACGGCATCATGCATTTCTGCACGCTAGTTCCTTTGTATAGTCAGCTTTTGTTTTGCTCTTGAAACGATCAGATATATATGTAATGGATGGGTTTAGCGTCGATGCGCCTTTCTTTTCCTCCATCTTCCTCCGTCTATCATTTCTTAGCCACCACCTTGCCTTTGCTGAAATCACAACATCAGCGCCAACCGCCTGCGAAGCTGTCCATTAAAATTCCTGCCGACGCCGTTGGTCAATCCCCGGGGCCTCCTCCAGCCCTCCCCCACGTCAAGACATGCACTTCCCTTTCCTGCACCGTCGCACACCTGGCGCCGCCGCCGGCTGGGTGGCCCGCCCAGCCGGGCTGCGGAGATTGCTGCGGGTCACCGCCCCTCCACCGCCCCCCCCCCCCCCCCCCCGCCCCTCCTGCTGCCCTCAGCCCGGCGCCAACAGGAGCCTGTTGGCGGGCGGCCGGACACCCACCTGTCGGCCCACCCAGTTCCAGGCGTGGGGAGGGGGAGGGGGCTCCGCGACTCGACATTGCAGCGGGACGGCCACCCAGTAGCGAGGAGGCCTCCCGCCTGGTGTTAGCCGCAAACTCTCTAACGTCCATCGCAGTCACCAAGCTTCGGACCTCTCACGATGGACAGCGGCCCAAGCGAGGAAGCTATGCTCGTAGTGCGGAAGATGCACAGTCTTGGAGGGTGAATTATCCCTCTGTCGTTTTGACCCGTCTGTGGCTGGCATATGGCAGTCCGGGCTGTACATATTCCATGTACAATATAACCTTTCTTTACGGGAGCAAAAACATCATACCATATTTCAAACATATCTTTGTCACAACGCCGAAAATAAACAACCGGTTCTCCAGCGGCGTAGCTGGGATTTCGGCAAGGCGTGGGAAACATTGGGTCGTATAGGCCCATCCAGTCATGGGTCGAAGGCTCTTCCTCGCTCAGGGCACCTGTTTTTTATTTGCGACCTTTTTTGAAATAAGTTTAATGGTTCGGGACCCTCCTGCATGTTTTTGAAGCCCCACAGGAGCCATCCACTGGCTAAAAATTATTGAGACCTTTCGGCTCACGCGGGTACCCCGTACCTTCGGGGGGGGGGGGGGGCATAGACTCAAGAGCTCCTCCCTTGGCAACTCCACTGCCTCGCTCCTTTGCATGTACTCTTTGGCAGGCACACGGTCACGAACAACATGTTTCAGTGCGCCATCAACCAGCATGGGGTGATAAGCTGTCAGAAGGCAGCATGATACCGATAACGTATTTATCCGCTGTGACTAATGCGCCCGGATCGAGTAGTGCGCGCAACATCCATTCAACCTGCGGCTATTGTCGGCGCACGGCCGTTCCTCCAGCAGTGCACACCCATCAGCGGTCCTGACTTCTGCTTGAGGAGGTCAGCTGAAGGTCAGCAGCTGGCTGTCTTAGAAGGTCAGCTGGGGGTCAGGTGCTGCGCAGTTGCTAGGCGACCCGACCTGCCTGTTCACAGCGCGGGTGATCAGTGATCCGCTGTCACTGGTCGGCCGGTGAGAAGCGGTTGTCGTCCTAGAGCAAACGGCTTCATTAGAACTGAGCTTTGCTAGACATACGGTACCAATGATGCAAAATGGAAGTTTGTCTCCTGAGATGTACGTTGAATTTCTAGGACATTTTTGTCAAGTAAAGCTAAACATTTGAATGCACATGGGTTGGGTGAACGTATGCGGGCAATCCAAAATGCTCAAACAAAGCTTATGCCTTTATTGTCAAGAAGTCCGCCCAGCGAGGTAAGATGAAAGTCGTGAGCACCGTCCCCTTACCACGTGTGTGTGCAGGTGGGGGAGTGGGAGGGTGCGGGTTTCTCGCGCGAACCTCCCCTCATGTGACCATGAAGTATTCACAGGATCGCCAGCGGCATCGAGCATTCAGAGGCTTTGCTTTAAGACAATGATCTGAGGTATTGGAAGCTATGACCGCACCTAGAACGCCTTAAGTGCTAGTTTTTACCAAGAGTG